TATACTGGTGGAACTACTAGGGTTGCAAAGGTCACACTTGGGACCAGGCCCTGGCGTTCTGCCACCATGGGGGGGGGGGGGGGGGGCCAAGATGGAAGGTGGGGGTACTCGCTGCAGAACATGTGAAAGGGTCCTGCTGCTGGACCATAATAAAGGGCCCCAGGATGAGTCAGAAGAGACCCAGGTTTGGAGGGAAGGGCCTCAAGACCAGAGGAAAGGGCCCAGGACTGATGGAAAGCACCTGGGACCAGTGGAAAGGGCCTTGGCATAGGGTAATGGGGGCCCTTCATGGCTTCTTGCACCAGAGCCCTAAAGGTTCTAGTTATGCTTCTGATAGGATGCATATACAGTCATGGCCGAAATTGTTGGCACCCTTGATATTTTTCCTGAAAATCAAGTATTTCACACAAAAAAGGTATTGCATTAACACATGTTTTTTTGCTATACACATGTTTATTCCCTTTGTATGTATTGGAACAAATATAAAACAGAGGCAGAAAAGCAAATTTGACATAATGTCACACAAAAACCCCAAAAATGGGCTGGACAAAAGTATTGGCACCCTTAACTTAATATTTGGTTGCACACCCTTGGAAAACATAACTGAAATCAGTCGCTTCCTATAACCATCAATAAGCTTCTGACACCTCTCACCCGGAATTTTGGACCACTCTTCCTTTGCAAACAGCTCCAGGTCTCTTATTGGAAGGACACCTTTTCCCAACAGCAATTTTAAGATCTCTCCACAGGTGTTCAATGGGATTTAGATCTGGGCTCATTGCTGGCCACTTCAGAACTCTCCAGCGCTTCTTTGCCATCCATTTCTGAGTGCTTTTTGACGTATGTTTGGGGTCATTGTCCTGCTGGAAGACCCAGGATCTTGGACGCAAACCCAGCTTTCTGACACTGGGCCCTACAGTGCGACCCAAAATCCTTTGGTAATCCTCAGATTTCATGATGCCTTGCACACAGTCAAGGCACCCAGTGCCAGAGGCAGCAAAACAACCCCAAAACATCATTGAACCTCCACCATATTTTACCGTAGGTACTGTGTTTTGTTCTTTGTAGGCCCATTCATTCCGTTTTCGGTAAACAGTAGAATGATGTGCTTTACCGAAAAGCTCTATCTTGGTCTCATCTGTCCACAAGACGTTTTCCCAGAAGGCTTTTGGCTTACTCAAGTACATTTTGGCAAACTGTAGTCTTGCTTTTTTATGTCTCTGTGTCAGCAGTGGGGTCCTCCTGGGTCTCCTGCCATAGCGTTTCATTTCATTTAAATGTCGACGGATAGTTCGCGCTGACACCGATGCTCCCTGAGCCTGCAGGACAGCTTGAATGTCTTTGGAACATGTTTGGGGCTGCTTATCCACCATCCGGACTATTCTGCGTTGCAATCTTTCATCAATTTTCCTCATCCGTCCACGACCAGGGAGATTAGCTACAGTGCCATGGGTTGCAAACTTCTTGATAATGTTGCGCACTGTGGACAAAGGCAAATCTAGTTCTCTGGAGATGGACTTGTAACCTTGAGATTGTTGATATTTTGCCACAATTTTGGTTCTCAGGTCCTCAGACAGTTCTCGTCTCCTCTTTCTGTTGTCCATGCTTAGTGTGGCACAGACAGACACACAATGCAAAGGTTAAGTGAACGTCTCTCCTTTTTATCTGCTTTCAGGTGTGATTTCTATATTGCCCACACCTGTTACTTGCCCCAGGTGAGTTTACAGGAGCATCACATGCTTGTAACATTCTTATTTATCCGCAGTTGTGAAAGGGTGCCAATACTTTTGTCCAGCCCATTTTTGGAGGTTTGTGTGACATTATGTCGAATTTGCTTTCTTTCCTCCCTTTTTTTGTTTTGTCCCAATACACACAAAGGGAATAAACATGTGTATAGCAAAACATGTGTTAATGCAATACGTTTCGTGAGAAATACATGATTTCCTGGAGAAATATCAAGGGTGCCAACAATTTCGGCCATGACTGTATATATATATATATATATATATCTCCAAAATCCTTGACTCAGAACCCAAATATCTTAGATTTTGGGAACCCTGGCTCTGGAGTGTGCTCCCTTCTTTTAACCACTCTAGCTTCCACTATCTAGAGTACCTCCTTACTCTAAATCCTGAGCCCAAGGTGGACACCTTTCCCCACCCTACCCCATTAACCTACCTTCTCCCTTATCCAAATTCCTTCCCCATCTTCTACTTTTCCTATTCCCCCGTCTCACAGATCCCAACTCCTTCACAGCCATTTACAGTACCTTCCCAACTTGCTTCACATTTTGCTGCTCACATATTTGAGAAATGTATATCTTCTTCAGGTCTCTCTAACAACTCATCAGTTGACGCCTACTACTGTGCGTACCCAACCCTTATGGTATACCTTGTATGTTCTTCAACTACCTCTACATGGGCAACACCATTAGACATTACAAATGAAAAAAGGAAAATGTAAGTGCATTTTAAATATTTTGTGTTGTAATATTTATACAATATTGTCTCTTTTTAGGTCTCCAAAAATGCACATAGAAGTAGTCTAGTGCAAGAAGAACACACAAGCTCTCAATGTACAGCAGAGTTAACCAGCAACAGGAGGGCGCAGCACAGTAGAGTCAACTGGAAACGGGAGGGCGCAGCACAGTAGAGTCAACCGGAAACGGGAGGAAGCAGCACAGCAGAGTCAACCAGAAACGGGAGAGGGCACAGCACAGCAGAGTCAACCGGAATCGGGAGGGCGCAGCACAGCAGAGGTAACCGGAATTGGGGGGCGCAGCACAGCAGAGGTAACCGGAATCAGGAGGGAGCAGCACAGTAGAGTCAACCAAAATCGGGAGGGGCAGCACAGCAGTCACCAGAAACGGGAGGGAGCAGCACAGCAGAGTCAATCAGAAACGGGAGGGAGCAGCACAGCAGAGTCAACCAGAAAACGGGAGGGAGCAGCACAGCAGAGTCAACCAGAAACGGGAGGGCGCAGCACAGCAGAGTCAACCAGAAACGGGAGGGCGCAGCACAGCAGAGTCAACCAGAACCGGGAGGGCACAGCAACACCAAGAAAATTCACTTGGCACCAGTAAGACCAGGTAAAACTGCCCACCTGCCTCCTCTACTCATCCCTGAATCTACACACCCCCACAAGCCACCTTTAAGGACTGGCATGCACTCAAAGCTCCCATTAGCCTTCAGTTTTGGTTGGACGCCTCGAACATTACATTTTTTTCCTCTCTCAGTCCCAAGTTTGTTGCTTTAAGGGGTGAGTTCACCTTTCCACGCAGATTTCCCAAAAAGGTCCCCATGCACCACAGTACCCCCAGTATAACAACTGCTGTGCTTTGTCTCCAAAACAAATCCTTATGTCTTCAGCTGCTGACACCATTGTCCTCCCCAATACAGATGGCGGGACACGCCCAACACCAGATGTGGAACCCCAGAAATCCATGAAGGAATACTCTCGGCCTCCCTCCCCACCCGCGTATTTGCAGGCCACTCTGCTTTACTCTTGCAAAAAACGTTGAGCTGAAGGAGAGCGCAGACTGCGTGGGTGGGAATGGAAGCTGGAAGCGCTCATTCATGGATTTCCAGGGCCATGAATTCTGTATTGGGTGCATCCTGACAGACTGGGGGGACAATTGAGTCAGCAGCTGACAATTGGGCATTTGTTTGCAGAAGGGAGCACAGCACTTTAATATATTGGGAATACTGTGGTGTATGTATAAAGGTGAACTTACCCTTTAAAGTCGTAGCGTTGAGTTCTGTTTTCCCAGTAAATGGAGAGGCAATGGAACAATTTCCCTAGCGAGGGGCGATCCAAATTCCACCCACCTTCTAAGCCGTGACTCACCAGAATTCTTTTGAAGCACTAATGCCTTCAATTCTATGGCAGCCGTAAAATTCTAATTTTCCGGCTTTTGTAAATACGCTTCAAAACAGATTTCCTATATTCTTGTAATGGCCAAAGGGTGTCGGAACAACATTTGGAAGGAGCCAGCTGTGCTGAGCGAAATAAAACCAAACAAAAAAAAAAAAAAACAGATTATTGGGGACAGTGTAGTATAGTCAAAACTTTTTGTTTTAGATAGATTCGAATATTTAAACCCCCTGTACATGTGGTAGTACACTGCTATGGACTGGCACCAGAAAAGGAAAATTACGGGAAGGGTTTGATACAATTTTGTGTTTGTCTAAGTTCCTGTTACATCTGTGGGACAAGAAGTGAAAAGAATACAGACCGCAAACAAAGTAATGGAAGTTCATTTGTTGGACAGGTGTCCTCTAAGTTGTCACCAGAACCGATGTCTCTGCTTGAGTTGTCACCAAAACCGGTGTCCCCGTTTTGAGTTGCCACCAGAACAGGTGTCCCCGTTTTGAGTTGACAGCTCAAACGGGAACACCTGTTCTGGTGGCAACTCTAAAGGGGACACATCTTCTGTTGACAACTCAAACGGGGACACGTCTTCTGTTGACAGCTCAAACGGGGACACCTGTTCTGGTGACAGAAGACGTGTCCCCATTTGAGCTGGCACCAGAACAGGTGTCTCCGTTTTGAGTTGCCACCAGAACAGGTGTCCCCGTTTTGAGTTGCCACCAGAACAGGTGTCCCCGTTTTGAGTTGCAACCAGAACAGGTGACCATCTTTTGTTGACAACTCAAACAAACGGGTGGTAACTCTAAAGGGGACACGTCTTCTGTTGACAGCTCAAACGGGGACACCTGTTCTGGTGACAGAAGACGTGTCCCCATTTTGAGTTGCCACCAGAACAGGTGTCCCCCATTTTGAGTTGCCACCAGAACAGGTGTCCCCATTTTTGAGTTGCCACCAGAACAGGTGTCCCCGTTTTGAGTTGCCACCAGAACAGGTGTCCCCGTTTTGAGTTGCCACCAGAACAGGTGTCCCCGTTTTGAGTTGCCACCAGAACAGGTGTCCCCGTTTTGAGTTGCCACCAGAACAGGTGTCCCCGTTTTGAGTTGCCACCAGAACAGGTGTCCCCGTTTTGAGTTGCCACCAGAACAGGTGTCCCCGTTTTGAGTTGACAGCTCAAACGGGAACACCTGTTCGGGTGGCAACTCTAAAGGGGACACATCTTCTGTTGACAACTCAAACGGGGACACGTCTTCTGTTGACAGCTCAAACGGGGACACCTGTTCTGGTGACAGAAGACGTGTCCCCATTTGAGTTGCCACCAGAACAGGTGTCCCCATTTTGAGTTGCCACCAGAACAGGTGTCTCCGTTTTGAGTTGCCACCAGAACAGGTGTCCCCGTTTTGAGTTGCCACCAGAACAGGTGTCCCCGTTTTGAGTTGACAGCTCAAACAGGAACACCTGTTCTGGTGGCAGCTCAAAAGGGGACACATCTTCTGTTGACAGCTCAAACGGGGACACCTTTTCTGGTGACAGAAGACGTGTCCCCATTTGAGCTGGCACCAGAACAGGTGTCCCCGTTTTGAGTTGCCACCAGAACAGGTGTCTCCGTTTTGAGTTGCCACCAGAACAGGTGTCCCCGTTTTGAGTTGACAGCTCAAACAGGAACACCTGTTCTGGTGGCAGCTCAAAAGGGGACACGTCTTCTGTTGACAGCTCAAACGGGGACACCTGTTCTGGTGACAGAAGACGTGTCCCCATTTGAACTGGCACCAGAATAGGTGTCCCCGTTTGAGCTGCCACCAGAATAGGTGTCCCCGTTTGAGCTGCGGTTGAGGTGCCACCAGAACAGGTGTCCCCGTTTGAGCTGCCAATGAAACACGTCCTCATTTGAGTTGTCACTGTAACAGGCGCCCCCATTTGGAAGATTTCCCCTCCCCTCCTGGTGGCAAAATTTTTGATTTCCTATCACTTTGTCTCAGTGGTCACCAGGGTATATAGAGAGGGTGAATCTTCCCAAAGGGGACACAGCAATGAAACACAAACAGGCAATATCTGTTAACCCTTTCCCACCCTCCCCAGCATCCCTGGGGACTGAACGCCCAAAGGGGTGGGCAAACGTGACCAGTGATTGGCTATCACAGTGGTCACATGATCGGGATCTGATCCTGCCTGCTACCATTTGTAAGTGGGGACCCAGAGCTGCCTTTGACAGCACTCAGTGAGCGCGCTCTCAGCACAGAAACATCAGCCACCAGTGACACATATGTGTGGCATGTGGGTGTTAAAGCCCACCCTTTTGCTGCTTACATAGGCAACAACATGTTAAAAGTTGGAATATACAGGAAGGGTGCATTCTGATCCCAGTTCTTGATGGTGGAAGACGGGCGGACTGACAACTCATGGGCCCCCCCCGGGCAATAGGGGATCATGGGGCCCCTGTGTCCTTGCCCAAACTCAAAAAAGCCTATGAAAAAGGTACCAGGGGCATCTCATGGGGCCCCCTACTGACCCCGGGCCCTCGGGCAGTGCCTGAGTTTCCAAATGGTCAGTCTGCCCCTGGTGGAAGAGATATGGTAAAATATTTCTCTAATTTTGTTGGAAATTGGATTGCATTTAGCTTGCCATGTGAGTCATAAATAAATGACATTTTCTCAATCCTTGTTTCCAACTTTATTCATTCTTTGTTCCATCTCAGTGCTGCTGATCTCCTGCAGCCTCTTTGCAGACCCTTCCTGTCTATATGCACCCCTACAATGGCTGCTTGGCAATTGTCAGAGTCAGGTCTCCTGATGGCATAATGCGTGTTAAATCAACTGCTTGTAGTTTCCATTGGAAGCCCATGTGACAACACAGCAGGACAACTGGGGGACAGGGACGAGCGTTGTCACCCTATAACAGGAAGTCATTTTCATTGTTAAAATTACTTTAATATGTTAAAGCCTTTGAGATTTTAGTGTCTGGCTACCTCTATGTCAAAGATAACCAGATCCCATCCTACCATCAACGGATGCTTGATGTATTGTAAGATGTTATTCCCTACGCCCGGCTCTTTCTTTCTGCATCCCCGCTTTAAGTAGAGCCTAGTATTTTCACGGACAAATTGTCAGAGAACCAAATTGGTCACAATGCAGTCTTTCTCGGTCCCAATTTCGCACTGTGACTTTTTTTTGTACTAGAAGCTTTGTCAACCTTCAATGGCCATTAGATCGCCATTGACTGTAATGACCCCCAAATTCCATCCAGAACATGGGATTGGCTACTATGCCTGCCACTTAGCCAATTTTTTTTTATTTCCTTTTTGAAATTTCAGCATTGTATTAAAAACCTTTTTAATATGTTGCTGTTTTTTGTTCAACACTTTCCTTGGCCACCTTTATAGATTACAGCTGGATAAGTATCTAGGGGAAAACCTACTGGAGTCCCTCCAAAAATCAGGCAATTAAAAAGTGTCAGAGCTGACCTCCTCTCTAACCTCCTTTTATAAAATGCCCTTTTGTACTGAAATAATGGGTCCCCTTTGTCATGCCAGGCATTTATATTACTGAAATTCCTCCACTGTCTCTCCATTCGAACAGGACGGAGAGCCGGAGCGGACAGATCTGCAGCACCTCCAAGGGGTGACAGGATGGACAGGAGAGCTCATAGAAATATTGAAAAGAAAAATACAGCCAGTATCAACCTGTCCACCATGTTTAATAAAACATAGCCGTCCTCCCTAACAAACAGAAGTGATATTACTGGAAAACCTCCTTTGGTGCAATTCTGCCCCCTCTGTCACTGAGGTCTTGAGTAACATTTTACTCAGACATTGAAGATAAGCCCCCACGCTTACACCCATTTTGCTACCAATAATAGCACCTGATGGCTTCTTGAGCGCAGTCCATTTAGTAGGCATCCTACTAAAGAACAGACAGAGGAGCTATTACTAGATCTCCTTAGATGCACCAAGAGCTCCAATCCCTTCTTCTCACTCTCACTGAGGTTTTGGCTTCCTTGACTTGGGTGCTTTGATTGGATAGTATGAACGGTGTAGGGTGGGGTCTTACTATCCATGTCAGAGAAGTCAAAACCTCTTTGGTTGGACATCTACGAATAAACTGCGCTCAGTCACCATCCTGCTTTCTGGTGGAGAATGCCATTATTGGCTACTTTGCACCATCCTACTAACCAATCAGAGCAGCTGAGTAGAGCAACGTTGGAAAGTAAGGTACGCAAAGCACTCAAATCCTGCATACACTCACTGAGTTCTTGACTTTTCCTGCTTTAGCCCCACTCTACACCCATTATACTAACTAGCCAGAACACCTAAGGAGCCAATAATGGCACTCCCCCAACAGAACAGGATGGCGTCTGAGCGCAATTATTCCAGATGTAGACATCCTACTAAAGAACAGACAGAGTAGCTGTTTTTGGAAGACTTCCTTAGGTGCACCAAGAGTCCCAACCTTCCTTCTCACTTTTACTGAGGTTTTGTTTTCTACGACTTGGGAGATAAGTCTACACCCATCCTGCTACCCAATTAAAACACCCAAGTCACAGAAGTCCAAACAGCAGTGAGAGTGAGAAAGAAGGGTTGGAGCTCTTGGTGCACCTAAGGAAGTCTTCCAATAACAGCTCCTCTATTCCTGATGTAGAGGTTCTGCAAAACAACAAACTGCGCTCAGATACCATCCTGCTCACTTGTGAGAGTGCCATTATTGGCTACTTAGGTGCTCCGATTGGAGAGCAGGATGAGTATAGAGTGGGGCTAAAACCGGAAAACTTAGGTGCACCAAGAGCTCCAATCCTGGATACTTTCATTAAGTTCTTGACCTTTCTGGATTTAGCCTCACTTTACACCTATCCTGCTAACCAATCAGAACACCTAAGCAGCCAATTATGGCAGTCTCCACAAGAGAGCAGAATGACATCTGAGAGAAATGAATTCCTTATGTAGAAGTCCTAATAAAGAACAAACAGAAGAGCTGTTATTGGAAGACTTCCTTAGGTGCACCAAGAGCCTCAACCTTCCTGTCACTCTTACTGAGGTTTTGACTTCTCCAATTTGGCAGATAAGCCCCATCCTATACCCATCCTGCTACACAATCCAAGTACCCAAGTAGCTATTAGTAGACATTCTCCTTAGGAACAGACAGAGCAACCAATATGAGATGGCCTCCTTAGCTGCACCAAGAGCTCTAATCCTGCTCACTCTCATGAAGCATTTGACTTCTCCAATTTGGGAGATAAGCAGTCATCCTACACCCAATCAAAGCACATAAGTAGCTAATAATGACACGCTTACGACAAAGCAGGATGCACTCAACGAGAATGTTTTGTCAGGAAAGATCTTTGCTTAGAGTCCATCCTGCTCTGTCGTGAGCGTGTCATTATTAGCTACTTGAGTGCTTTGATGAGGGCTTATCTCTCAAACTGGAGAAATCAAATACTTCATGAGAGTGGGCAGGATTAGAGCTTTGGGTACACCTAAGGAGGTCTTCTTGTATTGCCTCCTCTGTCTGTTCTTAAAGAGAATGTTTATGTCAGGGAAGATCTTTGCTTAGATTCCATCCTGCTCTGTCGGGAGAGTGTCATTATTAGCTACTTGGGTGCTTTGATTGGGTGGAAGGATAGGTGTAGGATGAGGGCTTATCTCCCAACTTGAAGTCAAATACTTCATGAAAGTTGGCAGGATTAGAGCTCTTTGGTGCAGCTAAGGAGGTCATTTCATACTGGTTGCTCTGTCTGTTCTCAAGGAGAATGTCTACTAATAGCTACTTGGGTACTTTGATTGTGTAGCAGGATGGTTATAGAATGGGGCTTATCTCCCAACTTGGAGAAGTCAAATACTTCATGAGAGTTGGCAGGATTAGAGCTTTGGGTGCACCTAAGGAGGTCTTCTCGTATTGCCTCTTCTGTCTGTTCTTAAAGAGAATATTTATGTCAGGGTAGAGCTTTGCTTAGAGTCCATCCTGCTCTGTTGTGACCGTGTCATTATTAGCTTCTTGGGTGCTGGATGAGGGCTTATCTCCCAAATTGGAGAAGTCAAATTCTTCATGAGCGTGGGCAGGATTAGAGCTCTTGGTGCACCTAAGGAGGTCTTCCAGAGATAGCTCTATTTTTAAGGAGATGCAGCATTACCAATCAGGATGTGGAGCCTGCGGATATACAAACTGTACAGGGACACAAAGTTCCCAAAATGAGAACATTCACTGAAAAGATTATAGACAATGCTCGGCTCTCATGCACACGCATATCTACACAATCTATAGTTGTCTGTAGCTTCCCTTTTAAAACAAAGTAGCACTATGTAAAACGATACTCATATATTAAAGTTAATTGGAAATTTTTGTTACTGTTGGGAGCCAATTAGAATGGAGGAGGAGGCAATACACCGTGACGTCACGTGGAGGCCCGGGGGCCATCTTGCTTTCTGGACGGTTAGTCCATGCTGCATTAGCTGCACATTATCAATCAATATGATGTTACTTGCTTTTATGGTATTTTATGAATTTGCAAATTTGATTTATTAATGAATGACTTGGATTTTACCTACTACACTATGGGCACTTTTTATGGTCTCCCATGCGGAGCAATTCATTTATAGAGCCCACCTGATCCAGCCCAGTGCAGTATCCAGAGAAGGGAGTTCCTGACATCCACCCATCCCTTAAAGGGGACCTCTGGCTAACTGGATCTCTTATCTCCTGTTCGCTCCAACAGCACCACCTTTGCCCAG